GCCGCCCCCCGGCCCGCCCCCCCCCGCCCGCTCGATGAGGGGCACGGCGTGGAAGGCCACCTCGCTGGCCCCCCCCCGCGGGTACCAGGCCCCCCGCTGGTAGTGGTGCACCATCAGCACGTTCACCAGGAAGCTGGAGTCCCGCGGGGCCGTGCCTGGGGACGGGGGGACGATGGGGAGGGACGCGACAGCTCCTATCCCGACATGGCCTCCTCTATCATGACATGGGCCCTCCTATTGCAACATGGCCTCCTCTATCATGACATGGCCACCCCATCACACGACATGGCTCTCCCTGTCATGATGCAGCCCTCCCCATCACGATACAGCCCTCCCCTATCACAATACATCCCTCCCCTATAATGATGCAGCCTCCCCTATCGTGACACGGCCCTCCCCATTATGATACAGCCCTCCCCTATCATGATGCTACCCTCCACTATCACAACACATCCTCCTGCTGTCAGGACACAGCCTACCCCTATCACGATACAGCTCTCCCGTATTGCACTGTATCATGACACAGCCTGCTTTATTGCAACACAGCCCTCCCCATCACAACAAAGCCCTCTCCATTGCAACACTGCTCTCGCCTATCATGACGCTGCCATTCCCTATCATGACATGGCCCTCCTTTACCATGACGTGGCCCTCCCCTATCACAATGCAGCCCCCCTATTGCAATACAGCCCTCCTCCATCACCACAGTGCCCTCCCCTATCGTGACATGGTCCTCCTCTATTGCAATGGCACCCTTCCTATCGGGACGGCCCCCTCCCTATCGCAACAGCCCCCTGACCGTAGAAGAGGTAGCTGAGCAGGGCGCGCAGGTCGCGGTCGGCCGTCAGCCGGGCCACGGCCTCGCTGTGGCTGGTGGCCGCCATGCGGAAGACGGGCGAGATCCAGTAGACGAGGCCGGTGCGGACCAGGAGGGTGGCCAGCCACCGCGGCACCAGCTTCAGCACCACCAGCAGCGCCACATGCCGCGAGGCCACCTGCGCGGGGACCGGCCCCGCGTCACCCCCGGCCACCTCCGCCGCCACGGCCCCACCACCACTACGTCCTCATGACTGGCACAGCCGGGACTCCAGCACCACCCGTGTCCCCAGCGCCCGTTCCCACCATGCCCACCACCCGCGTCCCCACCATCCCCATCGCTTGTCCCCACCACACCCAACGCCTGTGTCCCCACCGTGACCATCACCCATGTCCCCACCACGCCCATCACCTGTGTCCCCTCCATGCCCGTTACCCTTGTCCCCAACGTTCCCACTGCACTTTCCCTGCCATGCCCATCACACTTGTCCCCACCATGCCCATCCCCCATGTCCCATCCACCCTTGTCCCCACCATTCCCCCTGCCCCTTCCCCACCATGACCATCACCCATGTCCACCCATCACCCACGTCCCCACCCACACCCACCAGTGCCACCACCCACACCCCAAACTGGCCAGCCCGAGCCGGAGGGATTCCAACACCACACCCTGGGGACGTGCCACCACCCGCAGGAGGCTGTCCCCAAGGACCCCCACCTTGGAGAGCCTCATGAACTCCTTGATGGCCGCCTTCTCGGCAGGGAACTGCTCCTCCAGGGCGGCGGCGAAGGCGGCCTTGCCGGCGCGGAGCTGGTAGCGCAGGGGGCCCAGGCAGATCTCGTCGTAGGGGTCGGGCAGGCGCTGCCAGCACAGCTGCCCGTCCGTCAGCTGGTCCAGCGCCACGCGCAGCATGCTGCCCTCGTGCATCTGCCCCACGTAGTGGATGCCTGCGGGCCCCGGGGGGTCAGCGGGCCGGGGGGCTGGGGACCCGCCGGTCCCCACCTTGGGGACGCGCGGCGAGAGCCCCTCGGGTGGCAGATGGGGGAACTAAGTGTTTAACCTTCGTCTGCCGCGGGTCACCTTCAGAGGTGGTGGCGAGAGCCGGGCTGCGAGCATGGCACGTGCACTGCATGCACGCACTGCACACGCACACATTGCACACACAAGCTACGTGCAAACAGCACGTGCATTGCATGCACACATATTGCATGCACTCGCTGTACACACACTGCATGCGCACACACCGCATGCAAACGGTGTGCACACTGCACATGCACTGCAGAGTGTGTGCATGCACGCATATGGCACACTGCAACAAATGGTGTGCAAACAGTGTGCTCACTGCAAAAACACTGCAGGTGCTGCATGCACATACTGTGTGCACAGACACTGCTTGCAAATGATGCATGCATGCTGCACGCAAATGGTGCATGCACCGCAAAAACACTGCAGGTGCTGCATGCACACACGCTGCTTGCAAACGGTTCATGTATGCTGCACACAGACGGTGCATACACTGCAAAAACACTGCAGACACTGCACGCACATGCTGCCATACCTGCTCAGTGCACGCTGTGAACATGCACAGGCACCACATGCGTGTGCACACAGTGCACGTGACGCACACGCTGCATGTGCACACGCACCGATTGAACGTGCAAGCAGGGCACACTGCACGCACACAGGCACTGCGTGCACGTGTTGCAAACAGACCCACCCTGCAACCCTGCTGCACAGGGACGCATGCAGGGCTGCAACCAGCCTGCGGACACGCAGCAGGGTAGGTAACAATGCCCTGCATGCATGCACCGAGCTACACCTGCACGCTACCTGCATGCACAGGCGCAGGCAGGCTGATGGGTGTTGGGGTGGGTGCACGGGGGGGTCCTTACCCACATCGAACTCACTGCCCTGCTCCTGGAAGGTGTGGCAGCACCCGCCGGCCTGGTCGTGCTGCTCCAGCACCAGCACCCGCTTGCCCACCTTGGCCAGGGTGCCCGCCGCCGCCAGGCCCCCCATGCCGCTGCCGATGACCACGGCGTCCAGCTCCGGCGGCACCCGGCGGGCGCTGAACCCTGCGCACACGCATGTGCCTGAGGGCCCCCCCCCCCACCTCGTTGCACGGGGGCCGTGCAGACTGACAGCAGGCCCTGAGTGCAATGGGATGGACAGACGGACAGACAGCACACACCCAGCACTCACCCTGCTTCAGGACCTTGTCGCGGGCACGCGGCTCCGTCACCAGCGGCCGGGGGGGCCCTGGGGGTGGCTGAGCGAAGGGGTTGCCAGCAGGGGCCAGCAGCCGGTGGGCTACCAGCCCCAGCGCCAGCGTGCCCAGGGCCACCAGCAGCAGCAGCATGGCCCACATGGCTGCCACCGCACACAGCACCCTGTAGCCCCAGCGCCTTATGGCCCCGGCACCTTATAGCCCCGGCAGCTTAGGCAGGAGATTAGACACGCCGCCTTACAGCTGCAGCAGCTTATAGCCACCGCAGCTTAAAGCCACAGCAGCTTATAGCCATAGGAGCTTATAGCCACGGCACCCTATGGCCATGGCACCCTATAGCTGCACACACCCCAGGAAGCACGGGGTACCGGGGGCGGGCATGGCCCCCTCACCGTAACGCCTTGCTGGCAGTGCTGGGACACACTGGGACGTGCTGGGACACGGGCCAGGCCCCAGGGCGGCAGCGCATGTGCACACACGTCTGGGCAGTGCATACACATGTGCATGAGGTGGAGGGGTGCCTGGCGCTGGTGTGTGCTGGCACGCTGGGTGCTGCATGCACACACACACGTGCATGCACACGTGCAGCTGTGCGAACGTGTGTGCACCCACGCTTGCGTAAGGAAGCACAGGCACGCCTACACACCTGCGTGAGCAAACTACATGCGCCCACGGGCTAACGCACATGCCCATACACACACAGCTGTGCAAGCGCACACCCGTACATGCACCCTCTGTGCAAACACACACTTGCACACCCGTACGTGCACCCACCGTGCAACCACACGCTGCACACCCCTACCCACCCACGCGTGCACACGCACACCCGCACGCCCGGCTCTGCTGCCTGCAGCTCTGCTGACCTCTCCCGGCAGCACCACGTAAAGGCCCCCGCGTGCAATGTCACACGCACACCCACGCACACCCCAACGCCCGCACACACACAACACCCCCCACCCACCCCCCACCA